CATCATAAATTTACGTTGAAATTTACGTTGAAATCCATCATAATGAATTATAAAGTCTTTAAGAATTATCACCATTATATTATTAAATATTATAAGTAACTTATTAGAATGCGTATTAATTAGTAGAGTGTAAGTGTACATTTATTTCGATACAGGCAAGGCAACGCTCCATTCATTTTGTTGGAAAGATCACAACTTCTTTAGAATTGTAAAATCTAAAGAATGTTTGTTGACTCGGACAGAAATGACCCTAATATAATGACCAAAGGTTTATAAGGAATAGAGTTATACAATTTTTTTAGCAACTAACTCGTGCGGTTAACTTCATGCCGAACGGTGCACCTGTGTTCGCCACTAATCCGATTAAATCCCCCCACCTGTGTTCCAAATGGATTTTGTAAAATTTGGCCAGAGCATTTCATTTCCTTAGCCATACAGCTAAAGATTACGCTGAGAGAATTAAAGTATTCCAGATTTGGCTTTTCTTGTACAGGATAGGCCGCCAACCAAACGCATATCCAAAAAATACGTTTCTTCACCAGACCGTAAAATAAAGATCTCGCAGCTGAAACCACAGCGAATGATAGCCAAGGAAATGCTAATTAATTTGTTAATGAATGTAATTCGACTGAATTTATTAAAATTTATTTTGATATTATGCCGTCATTTACCAGCTGTATTAGAATTTAAATCAGACAAGTCAAAATGCTAAAAACAAAAATTAAATAAAAAAACGAACATAAAAATGAAAACAAACACACCGTAGCAATGAGCCATGTTAATGCAAAACGCCGATTGTAATTTTTTATACTAGTATTATTTTTTTGAAGTGTAGTTTACTAATTATCACGATATCATTTAAACCGCTTGTAAACTGGTAAATTTGTTTTGACTCTTTTTTGGTAGTACAGCATCATGTCATAACAGGGGACTTTCTCAGGTATCGATGTTAGTTGTGAGACATAACATGTCACTTGTAAAACCTTTGTTTGCTAGATAAAGACTTAAGGAACATCTCTGGAAGATTTTAGGCCGCACAGTTAGTGATAGTTAGAAAGCACACAATGAAGAAAAAACAATGGAATCGCATTGCACTGTTTAATCTCACTATTGAAATATAAAACACGAAATATGATAGGTGACCATATCTCAGGAATTCAAACCTGTACATGCGTCACTTTAAAATTTGACGATGTTATCAAATTCTTTATAACGTTTTTGTGACCTCATGACTTTCCAAGTATTGGAAACATGCTATGACCTTTGTGCTATGTAGCAAAATGATAGAGACCCCAAGCAGTGTCAACCTATACCTCCCACCGCTCCAGCAATCCGGGAGGCAATGAACTTCGGATTAAGTTTTTGGTCTGGGTGAAACTTTTTTGATAGGTTTGTCATGTGTGTGACAATTTATCGTGTTCAGGTGCTACTAAATACCAGGGCGAGTGAGAATACATGGCTTTCAAACAAATCTGTAAATGACCAAAAAATGATAAATTTTATAAATGTAAAATAAAAAAAAGAGGAAACCACGCAAAAACAAACAAACCCGAAAGGGTCATAAGAAAAATTTATATTTAATTATTAAGCTTATTTCATTGCTTGTAATTGCTGCTAGTTTACGTTAAAACAGAACTGTTAACAACTACATGTACATGGAACCAATTGAAATTGCTTAACAGTAATATCTCAATGAGCTTTAAATTTCATTTCTGAATAGGCATAACTTGCCGAGGAGGATCCTAGATTTCAAATAACAAAAGTTATTCAACATACTATGGATTAGGTTCAGAATTTATATTTAACCGAGGTTAAAAGCCAAGAGACATGTCACTTTCTCCACAGGTGTTTCGCAGACATCGACAATAATGTGATAAGACAATGGAATATTTGTGGATTTAAACAATGCCATTTCATGGTCATCATTCACCCAGTATTTTACACGTACTGACTGTTAAATGGAGAGAAAATTTTCTATGTAAGGACGTGTTAGCACTATTATTGAGAGAGAATGTAATATGTAATCATATCCTTTGCTCAGGTGTTATAGTTAAAAGACGCAAACAATTTTTATTTTAAAAGTCATGTTTAAAAATTTTCGGGTCACCATCAATTAGATTAATAATAATAATAAAAAAAACTTTATAAGGCCATCTTTAAAAATTGTTTGTTTGTCCCCTCCCGACCGACTTGCTAAAATGGTCTGACTTTAAAACTTTTTTAAACCTCCAGGAAACGATTACAGTATTATTATTGTTGCTGTTGTTGTTGTTGTTGTTGTTGTTATTATTATTATTATTATTGATTGATTGATTGATGCATTTTCTCATCCCATCAAGAACTATTTCAATTTTAATAATACTTTCAATTTTTAATAATTTTTTTAAAATTCAGCATTGATATTGAGAATTTCTGGGGGGGGGGGGGGATTTTTCCCACCTACACACATGTATTGTAGCTACCGACTCATTTTTTTTATCCTGGGTCGGGAGAGGGCAAACAAACATTATTGTGAAGATGGTCCTACTACTTGTAGCTTTGCTCGTGTAGTTCTTCATGTATATTTTTTCTTCTTTTACAGAACAGGCCTCCGAAGTCCCTACCCCACAGTTGTGATTTTTCACAAAATCTGACAAGAGATGGCTTCGATACTTTTAAGCTCCGTGACAGACCAGATTGGTCAGTCGGATTCAAGAGAAATGGCAGGAAGTTACCCGGTTTCCTTCGACCTGGGAAAAATCACGAAACATGTCATCATTTTTCGCTAGAAATAATAGATGGAACTGTTTTAACACAACCTTATGACTTCGACAAATTACCAAAAGACTATGTTTTTCCTAAGAAAAGAAAAAATCAGAATAGGCAGAAAAGAAGGAGAAAAATTCGACATAAGCGGAGAAAAAATCTGCGTAGAGGAAGACTAAGGGGACGCCATTTACTAGAGAAACCTAACGGTATTGATAGGTGAAATACAACTTATGGTTCTTTAGGATTTAAAACTATTTTATCCCGGAGCTTTTCCTGATGGAGAAAAATTTTTCAAAATGTGTTCTCCAGGAGCGCTTCAAGTTACCCACCGATGTGATTGGTATAGCACGATGTGATTTGCAAAGCAGCAAGGGAATCCTAGTGGAATATTTTAGCGGTTCTACTTTGGAGGTCTGTAAAATGAGCATAGCAGTGAAATACATGTAACGTCTTTCTAGACCCAAAGGGGTCGCCATTGTGATAGAAAGAAGGACATGACTTCTTTCAAACAGTTTATCTGAATGCAATATATATCTTGTATCGGTCATCAAGAGTGTATATAAACACTAGGCCAGGCTACCCAAATTTAAGCCATAACTCAAAATGTTCAATGCATTAAAAATGTGGTAGACGTAATATGATTTTATGCGCATTGATATTGGATTAGAATGGATGTATGTTGTCGGCTCCGTATTGAAGAGAACGATCCGTCCCAAAGCGGAGCCCAGAATAACAAAGCGGATCACTTTTAAAGGATTCTGTTTGGAACGACAGGTTATTAGATAGGTTTTTTATCGGCAACACGGGTATATACAATGTCAATGCTTGTCCTATGTTGGTGCATAGTGACGTCAAATAAGTCCATGTTTTGTTCCTTAAACATTCCGAAAATTAAAGTCATTTTAGACTATTAAATAAAATATTTGGAAAGTTATAAGCGCTATTGGTGTCGTGACTATTTTGACATTTGAATATAAATCATATTTCAAAACCTGTTGTTAAGAAAGGGTGTAAAGTTCGATCGTGTGTGAACAGTAATTTATTTCGTTATTGCCATTTTTGCATTTAACATTTATATTTTCACGAACTGGTAGCTTACATATTGTTGGAAATCCATCATAAGTAGATAAAATATTGTAATAGTCATGTGATATGGCCAGTATATTAAACTGAAAACGATTTGTGACGGGCATTGATGTAAGGTCAAACATTCCAAATGGACTTAGGAACTCTTCAGAAATGGGAGGTGATTTAAGTCGTAATCAAAGCACTAGAATCGTTTTCGAATTGCCATTTTCGCTTTCTAGCAGCATAATACTGATACGACATTCAGATTACTCAAACTGAAATCCTTATATATATTTGTACGTCGAGCGTGACTTATAAACAAACATGATTTTTGAGAAAATAAAATCTACATGTACCGGCCTTAGAGGCAGGAATCAGTCGTTTTTCCAGGTCTTTGAAAAAAAAGTTATGTCACTTCCACATGACTTCACTTGTTTCAAAAGTAATCACATTTGTTACTATTTATAGATGTCCTAAAACTATTGATGGTGCCTATATTGTATTGATATACAATGTTTTGTTTTGTTTCCATGGTTATTGTTTGTATAAGATATGTAATTGTTACCAAAGAATATTTATTACATTTTGTATATATCTATGTTAAAATTGTCCCATAAACTGTGTACCTAGTGCACATAGTGCAGTAGATACAATTAAAATTGAACTATCCAACAATTACTAATTTGTTTGTTGTTTTCTACCTTGATTCTAAGATTGTCGTCCTTGGGTAAGAGCAAGGACAAAGATCTGAAGTTTGAGAATTTCAATCAAACCGTCTTTGAAATGAAAGCATCCTATGATGGTCAATTTCGGATTGTGAACGGGACAAGTTCTTGCACAAGGCACCAGGCTTATTAAGAGATTCGAACAACATGCTTAATATTTCAAGTCACAGTAAACCAAAGAAGATTCCTGAAAGTGACTTAACATATACAAAGTATGAAATGACAAATCTATTTTTAAGATATAAGATATGCTAATTGAAAAATGAATGCTAGTACACATTGTTATTTTGAAATGAAAAGGTATTGGTAAAAAATGTAAAATTATTGCGACTAAGTGTTTTAAAAAATGATTGTTTGGTTGACGAATGTGACAGTTATAAAGTTATTTAGTGTTGTGACATTTGCAATACCAACGCGGTGCACTGTGTGCAAAATTGTCAACAAACAGTCCACTTGACATGTAGCAGAGAGAGCAGCTCTGTTTTTATCCGATTTCCACGAACCACAGAAATCAAAAGCCAGTGAACTTGTAGAGTTTGTTTATTCACCCATTAACTATTTTATGGATATGCTGTTGGAGAGAAGCTTTGAGGACTTAAGAATTTGGCATTCTTACCCTCCCAGCAAAGGTATCTGCAATACTTAGTTATTATGGACGTCTTTTGAAACGACGTTTCTGCTTGCATTAGAGAGATTATAGGAAATGTGCTTATGACAACGTACTCAATTAAGTAAAATAAATTGCTACGCTTAACTCGTTTTCCATGTTAACCTTTATATTTTATTTTATATTAAAGTGCATGTCCACATATAGCCATTCACTTTTATTTGTATAACATGTATGATATGCTTACATGTACATCAAAAATGCAAGAGACCGAAGATTCAATAAAATAACATGCTGTACGACGACAAATTCTTGTCAGGATTTGGCTCGGGTTAGAGTGCACTGCAAGAATGTAATACTTTAATCCCGATTAGATTTAAAAGCAATCTCCATACCAGAATGATTTTTAATGTCATGCAGCCTCAATTAATTTTTAATCGCTCGGGATCAATGTTCAGTTTTATTTACAACCCGTGTTGTACAGTGATGAAATATTGCCCAGCCACCAACGTTGTTCATGTTAAACGTGTACATTTGGAGAGAGAGAGAAAGAGACAGGTGTCTTAATGTTTATGAAATAACGTTACAAACCCATGAAATTTCAACAGCAAAAAAAAATCTCATATTTTGCTAGAAACTGTTTCCAGATTCATTCATGCAAAATTGAGCAAACACATAAGGTACGTGGTGCTTTGCATATCATGATGTAACTGTACCGTCAAATAAAAGTATATAAATTTAGTGTGCTATTTTATCTATTATAGCGAGCGCAGCGAGCGGCGCGAAGCGCCGCTCGTCACTGCGAGCTCTAACGACAACGCCTGGGCGAAGAGAAAATTCGGACTACTGCACATTCATTCAATAGAATTTTTTTCCGCAGTAATTCTGACCCACAATGCATCACTTCTTGTTCTCGCTGCTAACTTCATTCACGCGGTAACAACAACTAAAATTTCACAAAAAATAAAGTCACCTTAATTTAATGGATATTGCATGCAGATAGTAGATTAAACGTTCTTTGTTAAAATATGTGCAGTTTTTAAACTTTGTTTATGGAAATGCAGCTAACATACGTCATGTGACGTCACAGTCTAGACGTTCCAAATGTCTCGTGAGGTTTGAAGAGGCGGATCTTAAAATGAAGTGAACAATGCGCTCGCCCCAACGGTCGCACCGTCAACATATTATTTATCTTCTAAACAATTCTGCAAACCTATATTATATAGATTGTTAGATTATATATACATTAAAATGCATTCTGTTAAAAATTTGGAACACGTTTCACAGGAAGTGAGATCATCCGCCCTCCTCAATAAATCGAAAAATGTTAGGTTTTTTTTTTTTTTGAAATCAAATATATTTTGTTTTGCAAGTGTAAAAAGATGCTTTTGCCAGATATCGCAGATTTTTTTTCTTTTTTTTTACTTACTATCAATCAAAAGAAAATAAGTTTGAATGACTTTTAAGAATGAAGCATATGATCATAAAAAAAAGAAAAATAATTACCTACGAACGCTTAGTCTCTTAACCAAAGCATATACAGCTGATCATCTGAATTCTACCGCTGATTTCAAGGTTAGTTTTGAATGTAACCGTTACATCTCTCTACTTTTATCTACTGGCTTATCTGAAATGGTACTATCAGAAGCACTATTTATCTGTTAAAGCTAAAGTCTGACCCTGGCCGATATGTCAGCAATGCGGTACAGTAGCGCCTATCAATTGCCACATGCAGACAAAAATAATATTCAAAAAAATTAAAAGCTAAACACGATCAAAACAACAAAAACATTTCAAATCGGATAGATAGTCATCTTTGATAGCCACTGTTTTGTCTTCCAGATTAGCTCACATTTAGCTGAGATTTTAATACTGCATTTTGACAAAGGAATTCTCCAGCGGAATATAATTTAGGAGACAACACTACACGTTTTTTGCTTTACAACAGAAGTATTCTTTTGCCCTTGTATCAATGGACGTTGATCTTGCAAAAAGATTTGAAGCTGCGGAATGCTTACCATTTATGCATGTCATATATGAAATATCCAGTTACGTTATTAGATAAATTTTTTTAAGTAAAACACTTCCGTATTTCAATTTCCCCCATAGATACTGTATATTGTTATACTGTATATAACTTCCACTATAGATTACCTTACATACAGTTATACAGATTATACTGCATACAATTATACTGTATATAACTTCCTCTATAGATTACCTTACATACAGTTATACAGATTATACTGCATACAGTTGTACTGTATATATCTTCCGCTATAGATTACCTTACATACAGTTATACAGATTATACTGCATACAGTTATACTGTATATAACTTCCACTATAGATTACCTTACATACAGTTATACTTATATAACTTCCACTATAGATTACCTTACATACAGTTATACTGTATATAACTTCCACTATAGATTACCTTACATACAGTTATACAGATTATACTGCATACAGTTATACTGTATATAACTTCCTCTATAGATTACCTTACAAACAGTTATACAGATTATACTGCATACAGTTATACTGTATATAACTTCCACTATAGATTACCTTACATACAGTTATACAGATTATACTGCATACAATTATACTGTATATAACTTCCTCTATAGATTACCTTACATACAGTTATACACATTATACTGCATACAGTTGTACTGTACACATATAACTTCCACTATAGATTACCTTACATACAGTTATACAGATTATACTGCATACAGTTATACTGTATATAACTTCCACTATAGATTACCTTACATACAGTTGTACTGTACACATATAACTTCCGCTATAGATTACCTTACATACAGTTATACAGATTATACTGCATACAATTATACTGTATATAACTTCCTCTATAGATTACCTTACATACAGTTATACAGATTATACTGCATACAGTTGTACTGTACATATATAACTTCCACTATAGATTACCTTACATACAGTCAGTTGTACTGTACACATATAACTTCCTCTATAGATTACCTTACATACAGTTGTACTGTACACATATAACTTCCTCTATAGATTACCTTACATACAGTTATACAGATTATACTGCATACAGTTATACTGTATATAACTTCCTCTATAGATTACCTTACATACAGTTATACTGATTATACTGCATACAGTTATACTGTATATAACTTCCACTATAGATTACCTTACATACAGTTATACAGATTATACTGCATACAGTTGTACTGTACACATATAACTTCCGCTATAGATTACCTTACATACAGTTATACAGATTATACTGCATACAGTTATACTGTATATAACTTCCACTATAGATTACCTTACAAACAGTTATACAGATTATACTGCATACAGTTATACTGTATATAACTTCCTCTATAGATTACCTTACATACAGTTATACAGATTATACTGCATACAGTTATACTGTATATAACTTCCGCTATAGATTACCTTACAGACAGTTATACAGATTATACTGCATACAGTTGTACTGTACACATATAACTTCCTCTATAGATTACCTAACATACAATTATACAGATTATACTGCATACAGTTGTACTGTACACATATAACTTCCACTATAGATTACCTTACAAACAGTTATACAGATTATACTGCATACAGTTATACTGTATATAACTTCCGCTATAGATTACCTTACATACAGTTATACAGATTATACTGCATACAGTTATACTGTACACATATAACTTCCACTATAGATTACCTTACATACAGTTATACAGATTATACTGCATACAGTTATACTGTATATAACTTCTGCTATAGATTACCTTACAAACAGTTATACAGATTATACTGCATACAGTTATACTGTACACATATAACTTCCACTATAGATTACCTTACATACAGTTATACAGATTATACTGCATACAGTTGTACTGTACATATATAACTTCCACTATAGATTACCTTACGTACAGTTATACAGATTATACTGCATACAGTTATACTGTATATAACTTCCTCTATAGATTACCTTACATACAGTTATACAGATTATACTGCATACAGTTATACTGTATATAACTTCCACTATAGATTACCTTACAAACAGTTATACAGATTATACTGCATACAGTTATACTGTATTTAACTTCCACTATAGATTACCTTACATACAGTTATACTGTATATAACTTCCACTATGGATTACCTTACATACAGTTACACAGATTATACTGCATACAGTTGTACTGTACACATATAACTTCCTCTATAGATTACCTTACATACAGTTATACAGATTATACTGCATACAGTTATACTGTATATAACTTCCACTATAGATTACCTTACATACAGTTATACAGATTATACTGCATACAGTTATACTGTATATAACTTCCACTATAGATTACCTTTCATACAGTTATATTGTATATAACTTCCTCTATAGATTACCTTACATACAGTTATACTGAATATAACTTCCTCTATAGATTACCTTACATACAGTTATACAGATTTTACTGCATACAGTTATACTGTATATAACTTCTGCTATAGATTACCTTACATACAGTTATACAGATTATACTGCATACAATTATACTGTATATAACTTCCTCTATAGATTACCTTACATACAGTTATACAGATTATACTGCATACAGTTGTACTGTACACACATAACTTCCACTATAGATTACCTTACATACAGTTATACAGATTATACTGCATACAGTTATACTGTATATAACTTCCACTATAGATTACCTTACATACAGTTATACAGATTATACTGCATACAGTTATACTGTATATAGCTTCCACTATAGATTACCTTACAAACAGTTATACAGATTATACTGCATACAGTTATACTGTATATAACTTCCACTATAGATTACCTTACATACAGTTATACTGATTATACTGCATACAGTTATACTGTATATAACTTCCGCTATAGATTACCTTACAAACAGTTATACAGATTATACTGCATACAGTTATACTGTATATAACTTCCAC